ACTCTCAAAGCAAATGTAATTACAGCGATTTTCCAGAGGCATGCACATGTTGCACATTTGTCTGAGTCGTGTTTCAGTAGTTATGAAATATGGGTGACATTGCAGGACTGGATGTTAAATGTTACATGTTGCTAAATAACAGATAATACAGATAATAACTTCAAAGCAAATGAATTAAATGTATAATAAAATCTGGGGTACAGGTCTGACAAGTAATTATACAAATCAGTTCTCATCATCTACCCAGTGTTAATGTCCAAATTGTTGCATATTGCACATGAGCTGAATTAAAGTCAAGCACTGTTTCAGTAGAAGCTTATTTAATGTCGTTATTTAATGTATTTAATGTTGTGTTGCATACAAACACAAACTGGTTTAAAGGCACATTAAGAAACTGTTTAAGGGTACATAGTAGAGTAAACATAAACATAACTGATTACTGTTACTGATAACAACCTCTTCAAAGAATTAGTGCCATTAACTTAGAAGTAATCAATACACATTTTACATATTTTCATCATTATTTTCTCCTCTTCCACCTCTGCTCTCTCTCCCCTGACTTACTGGCAGCTCATCCTCCAACATCACCTCTCCTACACTGAAGTCGGGGCTCTGATATATGAAAATGTACATAAACATGCCTATTTTTGTTGGATATGGTCAAAATTACAAGATTTGATTTGATATACCTTTATTAGTCCCACAAGGGGAAATTTCATAAGGCTGCCGACCTATTGCACGCAATGGCGGCGCCATCTTACCCTCCGACCATACATACGTTACACAAAACATCACATGGGGAAGACAGGTCAGAGAGGTATAACAATGGAAAAATGCACCACATGAGGAAAGATAAGGAGAAAAAAAATAATTCCCCCCAGACTGAGCTCCAACAGGGAGATCAGTTTGAGAACAGAAAAAAACACCTCTGCACATAGCACATGAAAAAACTCTTAATACACCAAAGAAACACATGACAAGCAACAGGGGTGGGTAAAGGGTGAGAGACAGCCGATTTAGACAGTACATCCGGGCCTGCGTGCGCTGGTCTCTTTGATCCCCGTCAGCATTGGAAGGAAATAAGCGTCGAAGGCGTTTGGAAAGGGAGGGGGGATGAGTGTGTGATCCACTTTAAAAAATAGTTTCACTAACAGCAGCTAACAAGAGCTAACAGCGGCTAACAGCAGCACTTCGTTACCCTCAGCTGGTTGTAATGACCTAGTTTTGTACCTCTTACAGGTACTTGCTTGTTGGTTTCTTTATATTTACATTCTCAGGCCTTTTTTGCTGTGGTTATTTGGGTTCTGCTCATAGTTTCAGTTAGCAGGCTGGTAGAACTACTGGAGATGTGAAAGGGTTAACCGGACGTTCAAGTTCAAATTTTATTTAATCATCTTTTATTTTAACCCTCTCCAGGCTGACGTTGCAGATTTGCAACAGTTAAGACCTAACAACCTGATTACCCCACATACATATTTTATGAGTTTGTTTTACTCAGAAGTACCACTGCAGGACTTGGTTGTGCATTAGCAACTAAAACTTAATTTGGGTCTGAGAGGGTTATAGACTATGATAATGACCCTGTAGGAATTCTAAAGGCAGGTGTAAGAATTAATATTCAGCCGTTGGCCTTTAGTTGGAAAATAAAGTGGAAATAGCAGAAAGCAGGTTTGGTATATATATAAGTTAAGCAGGTACCTTAAAATCAGACTGTGGTTCAGTACTTTAATGCTACAGCCATTAAATGTTCTGGGTTACATTCTCACTGGTGCTGTATTGATCACTGTAATATAAATACAAGGACAAGTACAGATTGGAAACATTTTAAACCTTAATGCCAGTGTATGATTATATTTTCTTCTGTCCACAAAGCTAATTACTGCAGCGATATTGATTTGTACCGAATGCACAACAGTTTCAAAATAGGCAAAAGAATGTGTTTAACACAAACTGCCTGTGATTTGACTGAATGCATAATTAATCTATGCCTTGACGTCATTATTGCATAATATATTGCTATTTTGCGACCAGCTATGAGATTTAAAATGAAAATTTCTATCTTCTAATTTTACGACTTTAAGGTCATCTGATAAAAGTGAGAACATATGAGAAGATGTCAGCCTTTTCCAAACAAATTTCCTTGGCGAGGAGCCCGTGACCCTGAGCTCACCGGGGAAATATCTCAAACCACAGACACGTCGGTGCAGTCGGATGGTACCAAACGTCACAGCGATTACATATTTGAAAGCACATTTCCAGGTGTTTTTACTCTAACAGTATAGATGGACGTCCCACCAACTTACCAGGACACGCTCGAGGGCTTTTTGTGACCTTTACGCAGTGTCTCTGCACAGTTTGTTGAGAAGATTACCGCCGAGGGTGTATGATCCTCAACTAATAATAGTCTCAAAGTCCAAGGAAGCAGGTTTCAGTGATGCCCAGTTAAAGCTCGGATCCTTTCTAAAGATGCCAAGAAGGTGCTAAGGGATTCCATGGCTCATGGATTTGACAACAGCATCCTCTTTCAAGACAATATCATGTGTTATCACAGCACAACAGGCAGGATTTTCTAGACTCTATCAAACGTACAGAGAGCTCTCACCTGTGACTGCCGCTTTGAGACTGATGGTTGGGGCTGAAGGCAGCGGCTGATTCGAGAGGCATATCTGCAGCACTCCTGATGAGCAGCACTGCTTGCTTCTCCTCAGATCTTGGAGCTCAGTCCTTCAAACAGGTTGCTGATGAAAATCCAAGTAACACCCTGATCTGGAATAAAGACTCAGGACATCGTAGAGCCTAATTCTGAGTTATCTCATGAGGTATTTGCCTCCTGTTATTTGTATTTTCTGAAAGCCTCTCTCCCTGCCAGCTCATATGTAACCTAACCTGTCACCTTTGCTGACAGTGTGCTCCTCTCTCACTCACTTAGAGAAAACAAGAGGAAACTGAAATGAAAATCCACACAGATGCTTATTTTGTTTTTTACAAAAATAAAAACCTGCCTCTCAGTTCTACTAATGCAACAATGAAAAGGAGGGATGATCAATTATTAAAATGGTAATAGGTTCTACCCTTAATGGCTTTTCGTGGATGTCATTATTGACTCCTGGAGGTGAAATTCTATGCTTCAACTCACATAAATGGAAGCCTGTTAAGATATTATCAAGGGTGTCAATTAATCATTAGTAGTTAATTTTTAATTAACTGCAGGCATCTCTTGACCATTTGAATATGTCTGCACTGGGACGGCCTCTCCAGGGCGTCTCATCTCTGGACCTGAGCGAGCATAACTGCAGAACATCAAGGCCCATCGTACAGCTGCGCTTTCTTCTCAACATATTTAAGATAATGCATAATGAAAGAAAAGTCATGCATTATAAATAGAAAATAATTTGACCTGCCTACATTTATATTTCAAATTAAATTTCAGCAAAACAGACATTAAAGATTTAAAGCTCCCTGTAGAGGTTTTAGCATTAAAGTGAAAAGTAGTTTTATTCAGTTTACTTTGCAATTTCCTGTTTGTGCTAATATGCGTCTGTCACACCTGCACAATCTAATAAAAGTTACTTTTATTTCAGTCATACTGAAAATTCTCTTAAGAATTCTATAATTGAAATTCAAATAATTGCAAATTGCTCACTAAGTGCAAAGTTAGACTATACCATTAAATGTCATTACTGTGTAATTTGGTGCTTTTCAGAGAATGACTTTGCCGTCAGCTCGTCCCATTCTTTAGGTTCTGAGTGACAAAATAAGCTTTAGCAGGAATAATTGAGTTCCTGACAGCTCGAACCTGAAGTTCTTACCTAATGAACACAAAGAGTTTGATCAAAAACGGTTCATCAACTCGAAGCTGATTTTGCTGTTGGCTGATGATGATGTGAATCTGCCTGAAGGCTTTACTGCTTTGCATTCCGTTCAAGGAAACAACAACAATGTTAAAGCAACGCTTAAAAAGGCTTAACACACTGCATGTAAACGTGTAACCTCTGGCTGCGTCCACACTAACACGTTTTTATTTGAAAATTAATCTTTTTCTCTCCGTTTTGGCCTCAAGTCCACACTGAGACGCCGTTTTCGCTCAAGGAAAACGCAGCGTTTTCAAAACGCTCCTCAAAGCAGATACATTTGAAAACGCCGTTTTCGCTTCACAGTGTGGACGGCGGACCTGGAGCCTTTTTGAAAACAATGATGCATGTTAGTCATGTGATGCAGTCATGTGACCACAAAGATATCAGAGGGCATTATACAGCAGTTGTTTTGTTTGACAGCCCCTTAAAGATGAATATCAGTCTGCACGTGCTCCAGAGACCTTTTCTTCAAATTTTTAATTCTCACTCTTTTTTGCAACTTTGTACTTTTGTGTTACTCACAGCAACAACTCCACTTCATTGTTAGTCCATTTTAAAAACTCGCTGCTTTTCCTCCACATTTTGCCTCAAATAAATAAGTGGCAGACAGAAATGAGGCAGGT